CCAGCTTGATTTTACCAAAAAAAAAAAAAAAAGATGCTTATAAAATACATCTTTTTTTTTAGACAAATCAAAGCTGATTGAGTGGCACTTGTCCTAGCTCTGTGCCTGGCCCATTTCTGCTCTTCATGTGCTTGTTCTTCTTTGTGCCTGTGGGGATACCCACAGGCAACTCCCTCAGGTAATTCCCTCATTCGATATTTATTTTAAAATACCTGCCATCTGAATTGTAATTCCTTCCTGTCTTTAAACAAAATTGTTGTAAATATGTAAGTGTGTGTATTTATGTGTACATACAACATACATTTGTATATTTGAGTATGTATTATGTGTACATATTTGTGTGTACATGTATACAAAATTGCAAAGACCTTCAAGAAAGTGCCCTCCAACACTACTTCAAATTACCCTCAAGGGAATTAGATTTCTCCAACTGCCTGGGATGACTGTGTGACACCAAAGAGAGTCCTTTTCAGTCCCCTGCACTTCAGTTTATACCACAAAGTGGGCAGCTTCTCCAGTTCAAGTCAAGTAGTTAAAAACCCCAGTAAAACGTAAGCCACGGGCACACTGTTATTATGACTTATTTAAACATAGTTTCAGCAAATTCAAATTACAATTCATCTTGAGTTTCAGAAAGGACTTAACCCTCTTGAGCACTACATTTCCTTGGTTATATGCTGAAATAAGTCCTCCTACAGCAGCCCCATTTTTGGAATATACTGGAAAGTGGAGCAAGATCAGAAAGTTGATATTTGCAGTTACTCTAGTTAACATACATTCCTTTAGCTCTGGGTCCTCTAATTCGCACCATCACCCTCTGACACACACAGGAGCGCGCACACACATTCACATGCACAAATGCAGAAGCACTTGTCTATACAACAGGATTCCTTTGCTCAAAATCTCAAGTCTTTGGCTTGCATTCATTTTCCCCCAGCCATACAAGCAGAAAAGCAGGTGAATAGTATCTTCTTATCTCCTCAGGAATCAGTCTACAATTAGTGAGTGTTTAGGGGCCCTTGTTTTCTGACAGTCACAAGGATAGAATCCACATTCTCACACCAAGGTAATCATTTTATAATAAGAGCTTCAGCTAGCTGGTGGGTCTGCCATGAGAACTGAGAAAGTATTCAAGGAAATAGCTAAATAACTGAAAAGAACTTTCCAAGGTGAAGAAGGAAATGAAAATAGACATTCAGGAAGATAGAAGAACCCCACTACCAGTAAGACATGTAATTGTAAAGCTTCAGAGAGTTTAAGATGAAGAAAAAATAATAAAGCTGATGAAGGGAAAGGAACAGATAACTTACAAAGGGAAACCAATCAAGCTGACATCAGAGTTCTCTGAAGAAACACTGCACGCAAGAAGAGAATGAAGCACCATATTCAAAAATCTCCAAGATACACACACAAAAATGCCAGCTAACAATACATTATCCCACAAAGCTCTCCTTTCTTTATGGGGGTGGGGGCGGGAAGGGAACTTTACAGACAAACAACTGAATCCAAAAATGCATCAAAATGATTATACATCATGACAAAGTGAGGTTTATCCCAAGGATACAAGGATGGTTCACCATACAAAATAGCAATCAAGGTAATTCACCAAGTCAACAAAAGAAAAATAAAAACTATGTGATCATATCGATAGACACCAAGAAATCATTTGATAATGTCCACCATCCATTTACAATGAAGGCCCTTAAAAAGCTCAGAAGGGACATGTATAGACATATATATATATATATATATATATATATATATATATATATACACACCTAGGAATCTACCCAAAGGGCACAAAAACACTAATTTAAAAAGAAATCTGCACTCCTGTTTATTGTAGCACTATTTACAATAGCCAAGATATGGAAACAACTCAAATGTCTCAAAATAGATGAATGAATCCAAAAGCTGCAGTATATTTATATGATGAAATTTTACTCAACAGTCAAAAAGACAAACTCATGTCATTTATGGCAACATGAATGAAGCTGGAAGAGATTATGCTAGCCAAAATTACTCAGAAGAAAAAAGATAATTACCAGATGGTCTCACTTACATGTGGAATATAGAGAAACCAAACAAAAGATCAAGAAAAAGTCAAATCTAGCAAGCCATCCTTAGAACTAAGGAATATAGCAAAGGAGGGGATGGGGCGGGGTGGGGGTGGCAAAACAGGAGGGATAAGCGCAGGGAATATGTGATGTTTCCTGGGTGACACAGTAGCAGGAGAACTATAGGGAATACCCCAGTGTAGGAAAAAAAAATTGATAAAAAATAATAAATAAATTACAACTGTGCCTGCCCACTCTGTTTCCTTTTGACTTCTCTGACATGTGTGTAACTGGCTAGTGTATACATTAGGCCTCACAGCTTTGTGAGTACTCCTTGAGCAAAACCTTGAACATGATTCAGTCTGTCAACACTGTAAGTCCAATGATCACATCAATAGGTTTTTGAGGGAGACTACCCCCATTAACGACTTCCTGACCTCTGTCTGGAAGGCATTACTCAATACACAAGACTAGGTGTTCTGGTGGCTTCTTCACTGGCTGGGAGGGAGTTGGGGGATCTTGTGGCTCTGGTTCCTGCCAGCTCAGCTCTCATGGGCAATGTCCTATGCAGTGCCACTTGGTCTGTCACGGTCCTGTTGGAAGTATTCAAGCATCCGTGATCGCTTCTGGACCCACTCCAGATACCTCAGCCTGGAAATCGATGTAGTCTACACTACTCTCCAACTCAGCTTCCAGTATATTCCCTTTCCACCTCTTAAACAGACAATAAATTAAGCATTTCACATGTAATCCTCAGAATACTCCTTTGAGATAGGTAATGTAATCCTGGTTATTGGATGAAGAAATTGAGGCTTATGGAGCTTAAGTAACTTTCCCTGGAGAACCCATTGAAACTCAGTGTGTTTCATTTCCTAGGGCTGAGGACATTACTATGTATGTGGTGATTTCAAAACAATAGCTTAGTCACTTGAAGTCCCAGAGGCTGAAAACCTAAACTCATGATGCTAAAAGGGCCAGGTGCTCTTGGAAAGTTTCGGAGAGAACTCTTTTTTGCCTCTCCAGCTTTGGCAAGGATGTTTTCTTTGGTTTATCCCCTGACTTTCCTTGGCTTGTACCTATTTCCCCCAGTCTTTGCCTCCATCTTCCCATTGCCTCCTTCCCTGAGAGTCCCCTCAGGGAGACTCCAAAATCTCTCTCTCCTTTCTTGAAATATAAAGATAACACTCCAGCTTTGCGCTCACCTTAACTCCATGGTGGTTTCACCTTCAGATGTTAACTACTGATATTTACACAAAATCCTTTATCCAAATAAAGTCACATTTGGATAAAGTGAGTATGATAATAAGGTAAACATGAATTTGGGGAAACACAATACAACCCACTACACTCAACAATTAAAAATTTGAAACTGCATCTGTGTAACTAAACGTTTCATAGCTTTAACCCCACTGAATCACCTCCCTGACAGCTCCTGGCCAGAGCAGACTTCAGTCATGATTCTACATAGATTTTTCTCTTTCCTGCCTCTCTGCCCTTAACATGCCTTTTTCTTTACATAAGCAATCTCTTCCCCTTTCTTTCTTCAGCCCACTCTACCTGAGGAAATTTGAATCGTGTTCAAGGTCAAGAACCTTGTCACTTCCTCCAAGAAGAAAGTCGTGATTGCCAACGCCAAGCAAGAAACTTTCTCCCTTCCACGCTTTAACCACCTTACTTCCTCTGCTGGCTCTTGTCATCTACATCATGTTCTAGGTTTTCATGCAGTTGTTGTCATTCATCACCATGCCCACCTCTGACCCATGATATCACAAGCTGACTATATCACAAGTTACTTTACAGCAAAATTGCTTCCACCCACTGTGTATCAGGCCCTCCACCAAGTTAGCCAAATGAATTTGCCCTTTTCCCTGTTTTGAACAGTTCATGCAATATTAAGCAAAATTGTAGGATGTGCAACAACCAAAGTCTCTCCAATGTTTCCAGCTTCCTTAAACAAAATTTTTTTAAATAACCAATTATTTTTCTACATCAAATCCAGTGATTTTGATAATTTTCCCTTTTTTAATTTACTCCAACACACAGTGATATGAGATGGCACAGCCAGTTTTCACCCCAGGCCTGTGCAACCCAAAAATCTGATCACTTCCTTGTGCATACAGATGAGAACCTTCACTCTCAACTTGGAAAAAGGAGGAAGGGAGGGTGGGCCCTGAACAGAGATGATTATCAAAATTGAGTTTCTTTACACAACATAGAGGTCCTATGATTGTCACTTTCAGTGTTTGTCTGATTACAATCTCAAAAGTGTGATAGCAGGAATAGCAGGGTCGGAGACAGGACAGGCATACACCAGGAAGTTCCCTTCCAGCAAAAGTGTCACAGGCCTCTGGACAGGCACCACAAGATTAACGTCAAACTGCATTCATGTCAGAGAGGACAATTTGGTTAAAGACCTGCCTGGCCAGGTCCCAGGCTGAAAAGCACCAATTTCCTTTCTTTTAATCCTTTCTAATTTCCTCTAATGCTTTAGTCAAGCCTGGGACCATGAGCCTTCAGGGAGCAAAGCGAGGTCCATCTGTTCAGTTAGGAATTTGCCAGACCACAGTAAAAGATCAATCTGGCTTTTACTGTAACTTAGCATTTAGATGACCCCAAATACTTCCCAATTGTTTCAGCCAAAAATAACTTTACATTTCTATGAACCATCATTCCAAAGAAGAGATTTCAGAGATTCTCTTAAAACAGATCATGCTTGGGCTATGGCTAGTGAACAGAGTTAAGAGTAGGCATACGACTTTATAATGCTATATCACAAGTTATAACCATCTTGTTTAGAAAGGAAAAACATTCAAGAATGCTTTTTCCCCAAAGGTTTTATTTCTTTTATTATAAGACATATAGGTAAAAACTTGCATATTCTGAAAAAGATAGAAAATGGTAATAAAATGGACATTTTTCTTATTAAGAAATATGTTCATAAATATGCTTTATCAAATGTTAAAATGGTTATTTTGCAAAATAATAATAAATAGAGCAGAGCTGTGACATTCAAGGGTCAACCCAAAGCACTGGAAATATTCATGTTTGTGTAATATAAAAATTCAGTTGATTATATTCAAAATTTTGGCATCTTACACTCCAGGTTATCATTCTGATTTAAAAAATATTTTTATGGTGACTCTATGGTTTTAAAAATAATGAAACATAAAAGGTGGCTTGCCTAAGTAGAATCTGATTAAAAGAATTTACCCCAAATAAAAAATTGTAAGACAGAGAAGATACAATTTTGAACCCACAAGTGGTAGGTGTATCAGTTCCCAATTCTGCAAATTGCTGGATCCCCAACTGTGGACTCTGAACAAAAGTTGTTTTCTAAGCTTTAGTTTCCAGCAAGGTCCAACACCTCTTTCACAGCTTGGGAGCAATGACACTCAGGATGAGCCCAGTTCTATAATCGTCGCTCCATGAATTTACGGTACAGAGAAAGAAATTCTCCCTCCTTTGTATAAACCCTTTCACAGCTTTCCTACATTTGCTTATGACCCACTAACCTCAAGCTGAGTATCAGAACACTGTTCAAAATTGGCAATAATGAAAAGTTCTTGTTCTAGGCATTCTTTTGTAGGCTTCAATTCTCTATTATCCAAAGGAGAGAGGAAACACATGTGAACACCTAACGCATCCTCTGATGAGTCTTGGGTGTTCAAGAAGCAAAGTTAGGCTTTTCCTTGTAAATAAATATTGACACTTTACAAAGATCTTTCATTTCCCATGCATTATGGTGTCCGTGAGGCTGACACGTTCATATCCAGAAACTGCACTAGGGGGAGCCACATCTAACAATATGTAAGGGTCCAATCTAATATAGATTACTGGTCCCGACGGCCTTCGACAATGTCCCTCAGGAGGACATCTAGTGCCTGTGTGCCTAGAGCACAGACAGGTCATGGCAGGATTTGGATTTGAGCTTGAAGGCCATATTCTTGTTGTTTTTGGCAACAATCTTGCCCCAGAAGCGCCTGGCTTTCCTGGGAATGCTCTCTCTTCTTTTCTGGTAAGCCAGCCGACGCTCATTCTTCTCTTTGCTGTCTCTCCGGAGGCGGACCTGTCGCACGATGCCCTCAAACAGCTCCTTCACATTGTGCTGGACAGCCGCGGAGGTCTCAATGAACTTGCAGTCGAACACAACAGCACACGCTCTCCCTTCTGGCAGGAAAAGAAGGGGAGATGAATGTCAGAGGTGCCGCAGAGTACGAGCTTACATGGCTCAGAGGATGCCTGACTTTAAAGTGTCCTCAAGGCAATCTAAGTCATCCACGCAGTGGATGTAGGAGGTCAAGTGACACCTGTCTTCCCAGGGCATAAATAGAAGCAGTCACCAGGAAGAAATGTGCTTTAGAACTGGTGCACCATACCACACAAAGGTCCAATTTCATCAAAGTATTAATTGTAATAATAAAAATCACTGCCTTAACCTATTACACTTACTATGTGCTGGGAACTAGTTTAAATGCTTTATAAACTTTTTTTTTTTAAATATTCACAACAATCTTGGAAAAAATACACGTCCTTTCCAGATAGATGAAGTTGAGGGAGTGGGGTTCTTTTGAAAGCTTGAGGGTGTTCATGAAGACTTAGTAGCAGGTATGAATCCAAGTCTGTTTCATGTTCAAACTCATTTTTAACCCTCTCCTGACCTGGTCTGCTAAATTGAAATTAAGAATTCTACTACTTGGTTTCCTTTCTTTAAAAAAAAAAAAAAAAAAGCTTTTTATATAGTTATATAGTTATAGGAAACTACACAAACTAGCTTCTCTAGAACAGTCTCGTTTCAAGTGTCCTACTGTGCTCTATGTCCTTGTGTCCAAAGTACAGTTTAAAAAAAGATTAGATTCCTTTCCTGGATCTGAGTCTTCAGGGCTACATTTTATTTTCTACCATATACTTAATGGGGATGAAATATAGGTATCAAATCCACATGAGAAAAATAAAATTTCAGGCCTTCCCTGGTGGTACAATAGGTTAAAGCACAGCACTATGAAGTTATTGCAGCCTGCAGCAAGAGTTCAGTCCCTGGCCAAGTGGATGATCCATAAAGCACAGCAGATCTCTCCTGACTTACCCTGCTCCTCCCCTCAGCAGTGTATTTCAATAGATCTGCCTGTTTTGTTTCCCCACTCTATCTCTGGTCAATTCTCTCACCGCCCCTGTACCTCTGGTCTGTACCCCAGTTCTGTATGCACAAATAAATAAAATCTTTACAAAAAAAAAAGAAAAAAAAGGAAGAAAATTTCAAGGACTCTGTAAGGACTTGGGTGCCCACACAGAAAACAGAAATTATCCCTAAACTAAGTATGAAAAAACATACGTGGCACCATCAGATGCCTTGACTGAAACTTAGGAAGCAAAGGGGAGGAGATAAGGGGGTATCTCTAGGGTCTACAGAAACCAGAAGCAGCCGAGAATAATTCTTATTCTCAATGAAACACTCAGAGTTACCCTAAATCAGAGCTTCTACCCTCCTAGCATGAAGATGCTACTTTCACTGAATTCTTGAGATCCTCCCTGGAGAAGAGAAAGACCAAGGTTGGCGGCTACCCATAAACCTGTAGACACGATCTTCCAGAGAAACCCTTGGGATAAGGAGATCAAATCCTGCAGGTAGACCAGATGGACAAGAGAGCAACAACCAGACGGAGATGATCCATGGAGAATACAGGAGTTCTGGGTACATATAAACCTCCGAGCAGTATTTTAATGAGTTTGATTCTTATTTCATGGAGGAAGGGAAGAGTGCCCGTCTAAAGGAACAGATCGGTCACTCAAGAGGTTGTTTCTGTGGTAGTGACACCACCTCTTTTACCTGATACAGACACTTCCCGGCATCGCACCAGGTCACTTTTGTTGCCGACCAAAATTATAGGAATGTCCTCTGTCTGTCGGGCTCTGCGGAGCTGAATTCGCAGCTCAGATGCCTTCTCGAAGCTGGCACGGTCTGTGATAGAGTAGACAATCAAGTAGGCATCCCCGACTTGCATGCAGTGGTCTTGGAGCCATTCATTCTCCCCCTGATGAAATGAGAAGACCTTCCATGAATTCAGGTTGGCCTGGTAAGTGAGCATTCAGTTTGCAAAGAAATAATATTTGACTACAAAAGTACTCACATCGAGTTTGCAACTGGCCTTTCCTGCCAATGTCTGATGGCTGTAAAGAACTACAGCCCATCAAGTAATTATGTCCAAAATATTTTACTTTCCAATTCCTCCAACATCCTGAGTTAATAAATTGTACAACTACTTCACCAAGCTTCATTTCCCATTTCTATTGACAGTACAATTCTGGGTCCCCAAAACTCCTTTTGTGTTCCCTAGTGATGAAACTATAAATCCTTTTGTGAGGAGGATTTTTCAATAAACATACATTAGCATATATACCCAGGTGTCCAAAACCTTTGAAAAGCAAATGTTGAAGTCTAGTACTGAGAGTGTCAACCTCATATAATATGATTTGATGTAATTTAAAATGATCGCCCATAATCAAGAAGCTGTAGTACATATACACAATGGAATGCTTCTCGGCAAACAAAAAAGATAAACTAGTGTGATTTGTGGCAACATGGATGGAGCAGGAAGCGATTATGCTAAGTGACATAAATCAGAAGGAAAAAGCAAAGTATCAAATGGTTTCCACTTGTAGGTGAAATATAGGGAAACTAAATAAAAGGCCAGGAGAAAAGACAAAAGTTAGAGAGAAACTATAGATCTGAGGCATACTGCAGGAGAGAGGGTCAGTGAGGGGTCAAGATCAGGGAGGGAAAAGCACAAGGGACATTTCATGGGTACTGTGGTACTGTATAAGTTATGGAACTAACCTGAGGGGAGAAATAAAAGACTACACAGAAATGAAGAAAGATGGAAGCAAATAAAAAGGTCTAAAATTTTTTTAAAATAAAATTATCACTCATACTTGTTGGCATAATTGCCTAAAACAAATATGCATTTTTGTATTTTTCTTATCTGTTATTCAGAGCTCATCTGTAGATGACCTATTCTTTAGAACAGTTTCATACTTCAGAAGAGCTTTTAATCAGGAAAATGAGTCTACGTCATCGGAAACACCAACAGCCCACTGGAAGGCAGGCCCTGCAAGGACTGACACAGAGCTACAAGTCCTGCGTACCTTATTTTCCCACATGTCCAGGAGTATAATCGTGGCACTTTCCCCATCAACAATCAGTGTCCGCTCATAAGTATCTTCTAGGGGAAAAAAAAAAAAGATCCACTTTTGAGTAAGGCAAATAGATAAACCCTATTATAAGGTGATGCTGAAAATTATTTAACAAAATAACTCGCTAAATATGCCATAAATTATGTAAACATTCAGCTAAAGCTCAAAGGTAACTTCCTTTTGAAATCATCACCCACACATTGTGCATGCACCCCCAGCACTGACTGAGATGAACGAACGCCTGCATCTCCTGACAGCATGTCACTGAGGCCATTTTCTCATTCCCAGACTCAAAGGAAAACCCTTTACAACCTAACTCACACTGGGATTTTTGACTCGACTCCATGGGTGATGCCACGCACTGCCCAAAGGAACCCCAAGCTGGCTCACAAGCCTCACACTGCAATTCCAGTGGGCGTTCCTGCACATCCACCAGCAATGTCCTGAATTTGAGTGCAGTGACTTTTCTCCTCTTCTGTGACATGTGAGGTGGAAAAAATCCTGAAACTACCCCTGTTTGGGCTAGTTTTCTTATTAAAAAAATTGTTTTTAGGAATAAATGGGCTTGTTTTTCCATTTTGAGCACAGCAGAAGCGCAGCCTCCAACTCTGCTTGGTAATGGAAACTTTCCTCCCACCATCTGAGCCCAGATGGGTGTAGGTGAAGGGTGAATATAGAAGAATGGCCCAAAGCAGCTCCGGCCTGAAAAAACAAAATCAGTGTATGGTAGGGAGGGGGGAAGTGTAGGGTGCTTAACCTGGATTTTTGCAAGATTTCCATGTTCACAGTGGGGTATCTGTCTTATATATGTAAATTACAAAATAGTATATGTTTTTAATTTCATCATTTAAAAATTATTTCATCGTACTTTTTATCATTTTCCTTATTCCTTTTTGCCTGAAATCTGTTCCTTTGGATGGCCACAAAGCTTGTCCCGTACCTCCTTCTGAGAGAGGCACTTCCTGACGCCTATTTAAAACTGTAACCCCTCTCCTCACCAACATCCCTGACTTCCTTTCCTGCTTCATTTCTTCGGTGTGTGGATTGCTATGAACATGACATACATTAAACTTATTCTTTTCTATCCCCCTGGGATAGAGATTCCTAGGCAGAGGTCCATACTTTATACTCTGACACCCCCTAGCACCCAGGAGAGTGCCTGGTTTGTGGGTGCTCAGAAAACATTTTTCAAATAAATGAATGAATGACAAATATAGAATTGCAGCTATGAGCACAAGCAAATCTGAATTCAAATCTGGGCGCTACCTCTATTAACTCATGGCTTTGGACCACTCACTTAAGCCCTCCGGATTTCAGTTCCTTCATCTGTGAAATGAGCATGAGTAACAGTATTTACCCTTTGGGGCAGTATGGCACTCGTAAGCCTGGACACAAAATAGAAGCCAAGAAATGTCAGCTGTTCTGGTCAGTCCTCCAGATGCAGGGAGTTGGTTCTTGACCACACTGGGTGTTTCCTGCTGTACGTAAATCCTACTTGGGGGATTTCTGTTTTAGAACAATGAGGAGTTTATAAAAAGCAATGCTCCTGGTTTAATGCTCCTCATTTAGGCACTGGAATCAGATGGACAGGAAGGAAAACATGGACGAATGAGAAGTAAACTGCCAATTCTACCACCTCCCTGGTGTCATTCTTTAACCAATAGTAATGGTTTCCCACTGTTATGCACATCAGGTTTGCACCTATAATATGAAGCATGAATGGGATCCCTGTGGGTGCACTAGTTGGCTTACTGGAGAAGAGGGGTTATACTACTTCAACAGGGGTGTTTATCCAAGATAAAAATCATCAGAGCCAGTGCAGCACAGATGAAAGGGTGGGCTGACAGCCCCTTATCACTCTTTTCTCCATGCATCAGAAAACTCAATACAGCACTGGTCTCTGCTCTCAGGGCGGCACTGTCTCTGCTCTCAGGGTGGCACTCACAACACAAAAACAGGTACATGGTACATGCGATTTGCTTGAATTACCAGTAGTTAACATGGGAACATACTGTACCCCAGTCGCAGAGGGAGAAAGCAAGCTTAAACCTACTCTTGGTTTAAGAGCTATCAGAACAAGTCTAGATAAAGTAAATTAAGGGTTACAGCTGTCAAGTAGTCAACATGCCTTGTTACGCGGAACATTGTCTAGACTTACCTCTGTCTGAAAACCATTGTGTTGAAAACTCAGGAGCCTAAGACAATGCTTTTCCATCCTGCTTTGTGCAAAAACCCTGCACCAGGCTTTGTATGGCCTCTGCTACACACCCCATAGATTGTGCAAACACGCCATGCATGGAGGCAGCCTTCTGCATTCTAGGGGAGAGCATGCCTGTAACAAAAACCTTGAGGTTTCTCTTCCCAAGCTGCTCACCTTTTAGTCATTTTGAGTGCTAATCAAAGGAGGAAAGGGGATGTAGTATAATAGATATAACTCTAGGCAGAAAGTCTTTAGTAATTTGTCCTAGGTTAAGGTATTTCTGATAGGCTTGTAAACCAGCGTCAGAATGTCTTCATTTCCTAAATCTCTACAGAAAGGCTGGGGGTGTGCATGCATACTCCCTTAGTAAGAAAGGCCAACCTGATGGGGTGGGGTGGGGTGGGATTTCCATTCAATATGACTGGGAGCTTATGGTCTGCAGCCATTTTCTGTGGACTAGAGCACCTAATTTCTTTCCTACTTTGACCCTTCCACCCACTGGGTATGGAGGAAGCCCCTTCTCCCCAAAACTGACTCAAGTGCTGTGCTTTGAAATGGCACAGGAATTCTCTCACAAGTTGTCCCTCAAAGACTCCAGCAACCCTCCCCCTGAAAAAAAACCTCTCTACTGCTTTCAGTTTTCAGTGGCAAACAGACTCTCCAAACCTTAAAAGAAACACCTCCTGTACGAATACCATTCCCTCCCCTAGTGATTCATGTCTGCGCCAATGTCTCGCTGGGTCCCAGCCAAGTGTGACCAGGTGGAGAGACCACAGGCAATAAAAGTGCCAGTTTTGTAAGATTAGCTCAGAAAGGAAGGTTCAGAATTGGCTCTAACTTAGGCTATTCTGAGCTTACGACGTACCAGGCGTTATGTCCCAGGCTGAATACATGTCTCCTTTAAGCTTCTTATTACCCTAAATAGTAAGTATGGTTCTTATTTTACTAATGAGGAAGCCTGAGGAGGTTAAGTATCCAACCAGGAGCACCCAGCTAAGTCGTGACAGCTGGTGTCCAAACCCGCCTCAGATACCTCCCTGTACTGCCTCCGTGTGCTCATGGCCCTCACACCTCGCTCTTTAGGTTCCAGTTAGGAGGTGGCTTTTCCGGGAACCATTTTCTATTTTGCACAGCTAGATATGACCTGACCCCTCTGAATTCTGACAGCACATCTCTGTTCCTCTTTTCAAGACACTTCTGACATCCTATCTTGACTTATAGTTGACATATCTGACCTCCACTGTTTACTGTAAGCACCTCAGCTTGGAGTGTTCCCACAGATCTCACAGAGGCCCACAATACATGGTCAGTAACTGTTTAGAAATGAAGGAATAGCATCACCTATATCCAGAGGCATACAATTATTGTAATATAACCATAACACCCATCTCTATTAGAAGCAGTAATGATGAGACTATTATGTAGACTTTTTTATGTTTAATACTGAACTAAACAACAATGGAGGGCATGCATTAGGAATTCCTCCTTGAGGGGAAATAGAAAGCTAATTAGTGATAGCAAAAGCTGCCTTCAGATCAGGGATCTAGTCATAGATGGTATCAATTTGGATACTTTGGATAGCATGGATTACCTGAAAATGGAGAGAGATTCTGCCAAAGACTGAGAAGAATTATCCCCCCCACACACTAAACAAAGAGGTTTCCTCAAATATAGAAGTCTGTCTCCCCCCCAAATTCCAGTGTAGTTGATCTTCTCACCATGTAATACCAGTGCGGATACCATTCTCTGGATGGGTATCACTCCTCTCTAACTTATGACAAGCATTTTCTAAAGTCTACTTCCTGTTAACTTTTCAATTCCTCAATCTTAAAAAAGGCCAAAACAAAAAAGACAACTTTCAGTCGCTCTCTTTCTTATTTCAACACCAAAGCACTTCTTAAGGTGGTCAAGATTCTTGGCCTACTCAGAAGCACAGCCACTGACGCACAGCTCCCTCCTAACAGCGCAGGCTGTACCACCTTATCCATCACTGGCACAGAGCCAGGCATGTGGCTGACAGCCCAAATTGCCACAGGCCTTGACAGCATTTGGACTAAACCCAGGGACTGCAAGGTACTTTGAAAGAACATAGGATTTGAGCTCAACCACAAATTAAGTTGGAATCCTCACCACATATCAGGCACAAGAATGTATGCACTGGAAAGTCATTTGGTTTTATAAGCATCTACTTAGTCACCTATAAAACAGGGACATTAACACAAAATTGGCATGACTTTTGTTAAGTATTATCAACTTACACGTGGGAAATACATAGCACTGTGTATAACACACAGTAGGTTCACCATTGATAACAGAATGAGAAAAACACTAAACAAAGATAATAAAGTCCCAAATTCTAATCCGGCTGCCCCACTGGGTGATTCTAGATAAACCGCTTGGTCTCCCTGACTGAGTTCACTCATAAGGGAACAGAAATTGTAAGGAGTGAATAGTAGCAAGTCTTAGGTACCCACTAAAGTGCCTCTCCCATTATAAATGTTTATTCTAAATGTTGGTTCTTCCTTCCTTTTCTTCGATAGCAACATCACCCACCAGCCTTTAGGAAAATCAATGACACAATTCTTATTCAATTTCCCCTTGACTCTTGCTTAGCTATTATCCCCGAGATTCCAGAGGTGAGGAATCAATGTTACATCAGTGAGTCATCGCTTACAGCCCAGTTTCTGAGCTTTCTCCTAAAGCAGAGAATTCTCTGACATTGGAGATGGTCACGAAAAATAAGTGTTTCATAGAAATGAACTTAGGGTAGTGAGAAAAGAAAAGGAACCCCATGCTTTAAGGGGAGGGTGAAGGAGACACCACAAAGCTACTTTGGAAATTTTATAATGAGGATGCGAGTCCCAACAACACATACACAGACTGCACCATTTAGGCAAGTATTGGACGATTCTTCCTTCGGCTGACAACTGAACGAAAAGGGGACATACAGCTATTCTGCTCATGTCTGCTAAGGTGGAAGCCGTGGCTGAAAGACACTATGAAAGCCATCAACACTGAGATCCTCACACTGCTGCAAGATTATACTGGTATGCTTTCCACCTATTTGAGAAATACATGCAATTTTTAGATTATGTCACTTCAAGTCAGTTTTGGAAATCAGCAAGGCTTAAATATTTTAAATGAGAGTGTACCGGGGAAAATGTCTTTAGAAACCAAGACTAGACAAACACATCTATCATCGCTATTACCCTTCAAGTTATTTTTAATTCTAATTTTCTTTCAGACACAAATTTTGAACTGTTTTATGCTCTGGATATTGACAGAAATAAGATAATGAATGAGTCTACCTCAGCAGTTTATCAAATTGGGTTTGATTTTAGATATAACCATGGAATAAGGCAATGTCTTCACGAGTTGGCAAAAGCCAGAGGTGGGGTCCCTTTGGCTCCACCTCTTGAATCTACAACTGCCCTGCCAAGCCCTTCAGAGCTGGAACCAAAGAAATTCCCTTTCTGGCCCAGGTTCTATCTCCAAGCATGTTCATTTTCCTGTCCTAAAGCCTGTGTCAGGGCTTTTCCGGGGACTCAGTTCCCCCAGCCAGTGCCAAGAATGCGTAACGGCAATCCCCAACTCAGCACATAAATGAGCCACCCACTCACTCTTTCTGCCAGGACCACTGTGATGGACAGAAGCCCACTGGGGCTGGGCCACCTACCTCCGAGCACCTCGCAGTCGCTGTCCATGCTGTCATGCACTCCCGCAAAGATGTTGGCGAGAGTGGATTTGCCCACTCCCTGCTCCCCTATGAGCACGACCCGGTAGTAGGTGTTCCCCGACTCGGAGGAGATGACCGAGTCCGTGGAGTCAGAGGACCAGCTCCGGCGGCAGTGATCCTCGGGGGCTGCAGAGTGATGGCTGTGCGGGCTGTAATGATGGGGCTCTTTCTGCACCATCAGGTGCCTGCCGTCGGCCGGGATGCTCCAGCGCTGCTGCTGCGGCTGCATGCCCACACTGCCATGGCGCATGGTGACATTATTCAGAGTCATGGCTGGGTCCTGGAGGGCAAAGTGGTGGAGATGTTAGCATTCTAAAGCACGAGCAAGACTCAGGTGGCACAAACACAAAGTCAGTCATTAGTGATGTCACATGGGGTGACACCCCAGTAACCCTAATAGAATGAAACAGTCCCCATGCCTTCAGTTGGACACACACACACAATGAGTAACTACCTCCTCAGGTAGAGTGTCATATGCAAAGAGATAACAGTACCATTAACATGGCCCACTGCCCACGGGCTTCCTCCATCCTCAAAGAAGCCTTGGGATCTCCACTGACACAGCCAGAACGAACCAACTGCCTCCACGGGTGAAAAGCAACAAGTTAAGGAAGCTGGCCAGGTTAGCTGCTCTTGTCTAAACAGGGTTCTTAATTGCACCAGCATCCAGCCGCTTTTGTGCCTCAGTGCTGAACACGTGGCTATGACATCACTCCTGCTGGCTGGACTGGGCAAGCACTTACTGGAACTTCCATGTTTAGTAAAGTTGCCTTGATGCTCTCCAGCTGCCTGAGTAGGCCGTTTGGAGGGGTGGGGGGGATTTCTGTTGGAGGTTTATGCCTCCTGCCTACCAACACCATTTTAAAAACATCCCAGTTCCAAGCCGCCTCCTCCTCCTCCAGGCAGGGAAATGACCCGCTCACATTCAGACCTATCATGTTTGCTGAGAAAATGCTGCATTCTTATTCAACCATTGTCCCCGGTGAGTTCCTTGATGCAACTGTTTTCACCTTGTTGGAGCAAATGGAAGGCTAAATATTCTTCCACACAGTATTCAACAGCAAGGAAAGTTGTAACTCTCCCTTCCCAACACTCCCTCCCCTTGCACGGACTTCTAAGTGTGCCTGGAGATAAAATAGACGCGTTGTCATTTTAATCAGCACATCCTTCGCCTGAGTGAGAGATGCACCGCCGCGCTCCTACCTACACTCACCCCCACACTCCACACTCGGGCACCTCAGCCACTGACCAGGATGACCGGCCGATTTTTGAACCACACGAGCAGCGCCTCAACTGACCGTTTGCATTCAAACAACAAAAGCATGCGGTATGCTCGAGGGCTGTTTTCTAACCACACATTCTGAACAAGGTGTTCCTCCTACTGAACACGAAGTGACCTGCCGATGACAAAAGCATCCTTCGCACCTTAAACTCACCGGAGACTGGAAAACCACAGCGCAGACAAGCGCGTTTCAAGGTTTTCTCAACTTAAAAGTTCCACGGGCCGGGAACGCCCCTTCCTTCCTTTCCTCCCTCCCCCCCTCCCTCCCCATCACTCCTCCGTCCCTCCCCATCACTCTTCCGAAGTCCGGAGGGCAGCTCACGAGGCGCCCCGCTTACTCAGTGGGGCCGCGCCTGCGTCCGTGTGTCGCCGCGTCAGTCCGTCCGCGCGTCCGAGCGCCCGGGTTGCCCGGCCGCCGCCGTCCGCTCCGGGCGCCCGCAGCCAGGCTTATAGCGAGCCGGGCAGCCCGCGCCGGGGCTTTTCCGTGACGTCAGGCCCCCGCTGGGAGGGGGCGGCTCTGCGGCAAACTCCGAGTTGCAGCCACCTCACTAAAGCGGTTTACTCGCAAATCATGTGACCCCGCTCTCTCCTTTAAAAAAAAAAAAAAATAACGACAGTTATTATCCCCGGCTCCTTTATTTTATTTATGCCAGGTGGACACAGGAAGATGGAAAAACACACTAAATGCCACTTAATCGCACTTTCCAGCAACAGCACTTGGGAGCTGTCGGGATAAAGGATGGAGGAAGAGGCAGGTTTGAGTTGTGAGTCCAACTTTGCCAAAAACAGGAATCAGCTGGGCCCGCAGAGACTTTTTAGGCTCAAGGATGGAGCTGCAGCCGCCTCGAGTGGCCAGGGCGTGTGTTACCGCAGCTTCTGTGTTACAGGAGCCTCTGCCGGCCTCCTGGCCCCTCTCTGGAAGGGAAGAAAGGAGAGCCCCTGGAAGCTTTGCCTCCCTTCTGGACTCCCAGAGAGAAGGAGCCAGAGAGGTGAGGAAAGAGACCTTGAAAAGGGCAGTTCTGAAAAGTAGCAAAATTAGCGATGCAAGCAGACTGCTAAATGTGGCAGCCCTCCTGCGCTGGGCCAGATGCGAGGCTCCTCAATCAGGGGATTTAATCAGCTTCCCAATCAACAGCATCTCTGTCCCAGCATCCAGGGCATTGCTGGGGCTAGGCAAGGAGCCAGTGCCTCGCAGCCATGGTGGGAGCCCTGAACCAGGCAGTGGGACTCATGTCCCCTTTGGGGACTCCTGTGAATAAAGGCCACAGGGTGTTAATTATAATTACTGCTGCTGCTGCCATTTGCCTAGTACCTCAGAGTTGCTACACTTGGTAGGTACAGTGGCGGCTCTACAGTACCCCAAATCTTTCAGTCAGATATATTGATAGCCCTATTCTGCCCAAGGTCACCAGCTCATATAAGGGTAGAGTCAGGACTCAGAACCCTGTTTTCCTGACTCTGTACTTACCACCAGCTCAAGGGTTTCAGTGACCTCTTTCTGGGGACATGGGGATTTCCCAGACACTGTGTTTGGAGATGACACTTTCCTTCCAACGCATCCATCCACTCCCAGCCAGCTTCATCTGTGCGTTGGCCGGTGGCGCCGGCAAGCAGCCCAAGGCACCGCATCTATTTGAGTGGCTGGTGTGGGCTGTGATTAGAGCTCTTTCGCAGTGATCCTACAGGCAGTTATCGGCTTTAAGGATTATCCCAGTGACCAGCTGCGGAGACCTGATAGGCCCCAAGCTGGCAGCCACAGAGTAATGAAAACTTAGAGCTCCTTAGTCTCATACACTAAGGCTCAGAATTCCTACTTATTTTTACCAAAGGAAGCTGAGACCCAGAGGGCTGACCACTGCTCAGTTAGTAAATCAGAGCCGGATTAAATCCTGGATATCATGATTTCTCAGAGAGGGGCCTTCGCTGCCCTTGAGTTTTCCTTCTGTGCTTAAGCAGGAGGGGCTGGCTACAGATGTGGGCAACGAAGAGGGTGGAGGATCACCCAAGGGTTTCTTGCCCAGGGTTATCACGGACTCTGTGCTGAAACACACGCATTTATAAATTATCTGCATTTCAGAATTATCCAGGCTTTCTCCATGCTGAATATTAACTCCTTCAGTTGGTCTCACAGAAACATGTGAGTAAAAGCAAAGAATAAATCAGAGCTTATAAGCATAGCATGTAGCCTCTCAATTCTACTTTTGCCATGGATGAAAACCTCGCTCTTCACATTCATAAGAACTTAATTCTATGTCCAGGCAATATCTACTATGGGGTATCTACTTGCTCACTGGTGTATGTGAGGCACACCAAAGCCAGCTGAGAAAACAATTACTCAGGAAAACTACCAAATACAGTTAAATTGGAATGAATATTTAGATGACAGTCAGTTACACCTTGCAAAAGTGTATTTGAGAGGCTAATCATATCCAGCAGAGACCCAGCCTACTGGTATAGGATTCTAGCTTAGCAAGGCCAACTGAGGGTATGGAGCTGGAGGAAGAAAAGGTAGCATCAGGGCATTTGGGCAAGTGGCAAGTTCTAAAGAGGAAAAGTTGGCAGAATATTGTCAATTCTTGTTCTATGAATTATTCTCTCCATATTTCTTCTGCCAGCATTGGAAGGCTTCTAGCTGACATGAAGAAGAGCTAACTCTTCTTCATGTCATGAGCTGGAAGACAACTCAAAACAACAAATATAACTAACATTTACTGAATAATTTATATGCTTTATCTCAGTTCATCCTTGGCACCATTGCCTACACTTTGTGGATGAAGATGCTGAGGAATGAGGTGAGTAACTTGTCCAAGGTCAGAGCTCGTGTGTGACAGGGCTGCACTCTTCAGCCAGTCTTCCGTTCAGAATAGGAGTGCTATTCAGCCAGCAGCCCTGATAGCCCCACATCAGCCTACTCCTTTTTTAATGTCCCCCCAAAAAGAAGGTCTTGTACCTGATTGGTCAAAACTCATGACCTTTACTGGGTCACACTATACTAGTGGACAGGATTTTCTATTAAAGGCAGGATCCATACTCCTCTGTCTCCTTTCTCTGGGTCCTGTATCCTGGACGAGAAAGTGAACTTGAAGTTCTTTTGGGGGCTTGACAACAACTCTGTCATCATTCTCTTCTCTCTCTCCGCAAAGACCTAAGCTAATCAAGTCCCATGATTTCAAAAACAAAGTGTGACCAGGGAGGTAGAGAAAAGAGTTGGGGAAGGGGAATAGAAACCTCGACTAGGCCTGGGAGTGTTACAGGGCACCCCAATGTGAATTGGGTTCCTCTCTGTGGGTCTTCACCCATGCACTTACGGTTCAATCATATTATGGACACACTCAAAAGGTTAAATAATGGATTTATTTATAAGGATAAAGGTAAAGGAATAACCCAGGGAAAGAGGGAGAAAAACACAGGTTAACTAGGATGTCCTACCAGTTCTGCTGACTTGGACTCCACCGGCACGCTGAAAACTGATTGAGTGCCAAAACCACCAGGCCAAGAGCCCCCAGAGCACACATGTCTGGTTTTATACCAACCTGGCTGCTCAGCTCCGCCCTCACGTCCCCGCGTGCTTCTTCTTGGTACTGATGGGATTTGGAGTTCCAGCATCTGGAGTAGGGGTGGAGTCCATGAAACCTGTACCTGTTACAGGAGTAGGGTGTCAGGGACTCACACAACCATAAATATATTACTTTGACCTCCACCCCTTGAAAATTCTGGAGCGGGCCCTCCCTTGTGGCATAACAGGTTAGGACGCAGCACTGCAAGCTGGCCACAGCCACTTCAGTACGAGTTGGACCCCCAGTCCTGGAGGTGACCCACATGGTGCGGCAGACCTCTCCTGACCCGCTGCTCCCCTCAGCAGTGTACTTCATCCATCTGCCTGTTCTGTTCCCCATTCTGTCTCTGGTGAAGCCTCTTACTGCCCCTTCACCACTGGCTTGAACCCAAGTTCTGTATGCATAAATAAATAAATCTTTAAAAAAAAAAGAAAGAAAATTCTGGAGCAAGAGCAATGATGGATAGTAGACCAAAGATCTGCCTACATCCTTGGCTCTGTAATACTCTCCTAACAGCAATGCAATATTTAACTTACCATACAGCGTCCTCAGTTCTTGGGGCTTACTGAAACAGAGATAGTGCTTGCCCATGCCCCAAGTCCATGTACTCAGTGGTAAAGGTAATCTACCTTTCTCCACAGAACAGCCTTTCCTTTCTCCACCACAGAAGGTAGATTAGAGACTAGGCACTGAGTAGGTGATCAAATAAATGATATTTTTCAGTGTTTTGCATTTTGACGTATTTAAGCCAGGCATGCTCTCCATTCCTGTGGTCCTCACTGT